CAAAAAAGATAAACAAAATAGGAACTGCCGACTGCTTGTTGCACAAAACTAACGGACGACTTTTGATATTTATCTGTTGTAGCGAAGTTAACTTTAACCTAAGGTTAAGAATTTTTTTCTCAAAGTACGCATTACGCTAAGCTACTTGCAAGACTTCAGAGATTTTCGTCCAAAAAAAATTAAGCTGCATGACAACTAACCTCGAGGATCTGCTTCGACCAGCGTAATTTCCTCCTTCACCGGGAACTTGCAAGCTTGACATGACTACAAGTACAACAGCCGAGAAAATTCAATGTGGTTATCGGAGTGAATGACATCATATCATCTTCGAAGTACGGCAATTTTAATCTCAAATCCACCTGTATTTTTGCGTTTTCTCCAGGACGTCAAACTAAGTGATCCTGCGTTGTCGACGTGACCTTTCATCAGGGACGGACGGTGTATCCATAGCAACGGCTAACGACAGCTGAAAAATCACTTCCGGCGAACGTCCGTGACACCCAAAGTCACCGAATATCCAGCCACTGACGTTTAAAATCATTAACGTAAGATCTGAAAAAATCCCCACCGCTCCCCTCCTAATATTATTATTTTTGTTGTCGGTACCTCCCTAAAATGGCAATCCATGTTCCATGAAGCCTCGCGCGCCTCATTCACTTTCCCGCTCAAATTGAAAAGGAGAAGCCGTGGTTGTGCAGAAATTGAAGTGAGCGTTTTTAATAACCCCTGAACATCAAGATGGAATGACCAAATTTTCGTTTCAACTTGAAAACGTGATTTCTAAGAAAACACAGAACCGAGATGTCTTACGATATAGGCTAGATGTATCGGTCGTGGCGTGGTGAGGCAATCTGATTTCGCGATTTAATCAAAGTTGTGTAAGTAACTGATTTGCATCACGTGCAAAGTGTCTTCGTTGATGGCCGAGAGAACCAGCTATCAGATCAGCTGATACGGGAAATAATGGCGTATTCACCTCTGACACGTTTTTCCGCCGATCACTTTATGACTAGGTGTTAAGTTAATTCGAGTATATGGCCTGGTAATCATTATTCATCATCAGTTGTCGCTCGTCATAAGAATTGGAGCCCATAACAGCTTAAACACTACCACACAAAATGTAGAACACACTCAAATCAGTAACGATGCAAACTTGAAACAAGTAACATCTTCGTAGTTCTCTTTCAGGAGGATTTGAATTCGTTGGCTTACAAAAATGGTGTTACAAATAACTCTTCTTGCTGATGAATTCAAGAAATCAACCAAGGGTGGTCTGTCTACCTTGAATAGACAGTTGGCTATTCAACTTGCTAAAGTTTCAAGTGTAAGGGTTCGCATGCTAATGCCTAAAGTCACAGAGGAAGATAGGAAAGATGCTAAGAAATATAACATAAACATTATTGAAACTTTGGAATGTGTTGGCCTTGAACCAATTTATTGGTTAGGATATCCACCGGAAGGTTTTGAAACTGACATTGTTATAAGTCATGACGTTAAGCTGGGATGGCCTGGTTATGTGATAAGAAGATCATGTGGTGCAAAATGGATACATGTTGTCCATACAGATGCTGAAGAGCTGGGATTGGACAAAAACTATAAGGGTGCAATTTCACGAGGTCAAGACAAGCAGAAAAGTCAAACAAAACTGTGTGAAATGGCAGACTTGGTGATGACAGTTGGTCCAAAGCTAAAGAATAGTGTGCCTGTTGGCTCTTGTCCTCCAGAAAAAGTCTTTAATTTGACTCCTGGTCTTTTTCAAGAATTTTACATGCAACGCAAAGAATTTGACAAGAGTGAACGATTTGACATCTTACTTTTTGGAAGGGGAGATCCCGAAGATTTTGAAATCAAAGGGTTCCAAACTGCCTATGATGCATTTATCAAGTTAAAGAAGGAGGATAAGACCTACAACTTGACAATTGTTGGAGCCATTGAAGGGACCCAGGAAGATTTGATAGCTAAGTTAAGAAACAGCCCTGATGATCCTAAGCCATATATAAGAAGATATGAAGAGGACCGAGAAGAGTTGAAAAAGCTGTTTATGGGGATGGATCTGGTGCTGATGCCATCAAAGACTGAAGGATTTGGTTTAGCAGGGCTAGAGGCCCTGTCAGCGGGGGTACCCATCCTTGTGTCAAGCAATTGTGGCTTGGCAGAAGCCCTGGAGAAGATTCCACATGGTTCACAATGCGTGGTTGAGTCAGAGGATGACTGGGCCAGAGCTATTAAGAAAGTGAGGCGGAGGGATGAAGCAACCCGCAATGCAGAAGCCAGTTCGATTCGTGAAAAATACAATGAGAAGTACTCATGGACTGACCAGCGTAAAGAACTTGTGAAATATATGAAAAAAATGTGTCCAGGTGAGTATACATGTAACTATGTAACTGTTTATGTCAGTAGTATCTACTGGATATAAAGATGTTTTGCATTCTTTTACTAATGTTAGTATCCCATGCTTCAAATTCAGCTACTACACAAAAATCAAAGAAGGAAAGAGAAGAAGCCAGTTCTGCAAATGATGGGGAGAACAGAGTGGATGGTGGGTGTTGTAATTGAATTTAAATTCCCAGAGTTATTTTCTTTAAATTGTTCATGGATTGTATTGAAGTTCACACAGCAACCAGGTGGACAATCAGACATGATTTGATGCTACTCTGGTTTAAAGATTTAATTAATGTAACCAAAATTACAATTCATCAACCCAATGTTTTGACACTCCTGTCCAGTGCCTTCATCAGGGGTGACCTGATTATTGTAACAAGAGGCCCTTTTATATGCTCACTAATTAGCTGCCTTTTTTCTGACAAGGTGTAAATAGGCGTCAGGCAGTAAGCCGCCATCATCATGATTTAAAGGAGCGTGGGGTGGGGAGTTGTTATGCCAAACTTCCAAATAAAGGCGTTGGTGGTAGCGATGATTAGTGGTGATAATTTTAGACTTATCCCACCCTATTGTATGGTTAGTTAGGCTTTTTTATTTATTTGTTTATTTTATAAACTTTATTTATACTCAAATTTTAGAGTAGCTGTCAAGTTAATATCTTTGAGCTGAGATTACGAGTGCTTGAAAATCCCTGTTGGCAGGAGACAGACCAGTAGGCTATTTACAGAGCACAGCCGAGGAGTTGAACTTGGGGCAACCAAGAACAAATCCAGGGAGTGGCAGGGTGGAGGATGTGAATGTGGGATACTAGATTAAGAGTTTAGCACCCTAACCGACTCAGCCACACTGCCCCCAAAAACCTTTTTAGACTTAAGGGCATATTTTCGCCAAACCTAAGGATCCTGTTACAAAAGAACAACAAACCAATTATATTTATTCTATTCCATGCAATGACTGCCATCACGAGTATATCGGACAGACCAAACATCAGTTTGGTACACTTTTGAAAGACCATCAGAAAGCAGTATTCTTTTGCAAAAAAGAAAATTCAGCTTTGTTAGAGCACCCATGTGTAACTAACCATACAATAGGGTGGGATAATTCTAAAATTATCACCACTAAATGCCGCCACCACCAGTGCCTTTGATTGGAAGGTTGGCATATCAACTGTACGCACTGCCACTCCTTTAAATCATGATGATAGCAGCTTACAACCTGACACCCATTTACACTTCATCAGAAAAAAAGGCAGCCAATTAGTGAGCACATAAAAGGACCTTGTTGCAATGATCAGAGCGCCCCCGATGAATGCACTAGACAGGAGTGTTAATATGTTAGGCCATAAATTGTAGTTTTGGTTACATTCATCAAATCTTAAAACCAGAGTAACATCAAACCATGTCTTATTCATGGAAATTTGGAAATTTAATCAAAAGCAGCTGCAGCAGCTATTGCAGTTGCCAAGGTTACTATATAATTTGTCAACACTTTTTATTCATGGGATTTGTGAAGAAAAAAAGGCTGAGAATTATGAAGTTATGATTGTTCTAATGTGTTTTGTAGCAATGGTCTTCCCCAATTGATCTAAGTTCAATGGTGATCAGCCACATGATAACCTTTCTCTTGTCTTCCTATTTAATTACAATTTGTATTGTCTTTTATGTCCACCCATCCATTTATGAAATCAATTTGTGTACGACACTGTTACTTGAGATGAAACTTTGTTTATATACGACAAGTATACTGCATGATAAGATCAGAAAAATTTATGTAGCAGAGTCAAGAGCTAAACTTTAAAATTTAAGAGACAATACAGCAATGAAAGGAAATAACAATTTTCAGTGTCTCTAATTTCCAAACTTTGTACATAGTTTCAATGTTTTAATTTGCACATTGAGTGACTTGATCTCCATTTTACAATAATAACATCAATTAGCATTCCATTTTAAGAATACTTTGTAATTGAATCTAGGTGTTCCAGAGAAGAGTGCTAAAACCCCACTGAAAAGGAAAGCACTAGCAAATGTGACAAATTCTGCTAGGAAAGAAGTTGAGTGTGATTGAGTTTTTGCTCGACTGGCAATACTGTTGTAGCTGTATCATGAAATGACTTATTTAAATCATGAAGTCTACAATAATGTTGAGTGTGCAAGGAAGACCTGTTTTAATTCCTTCCAGCTAGCATGTTAATTTATTGCCATAATCTGTGCTTCAGGAAACTATGAGTGAATTGTAATAAAATCAATGATATTAGATCTACTGTAACAGCATCAAAGACTACACTCCTAAGACTATTACTGCAGTGATTGGGCTTTCTGTTGATACATACTTCTGACTAATATAGTTATGTTAAAATATAGGCACCACTCCCAAACCTGCTTCGAAAAAGAGGAAATCTAAAGACAAAAGCAACCTAGGTAATGAATCAGGAGGTGAGTTGTTTGATGTCTTGTTTTATGATTGTGTTGCATCCCTTCACACAAATAATTAGGTCCAAGTGGTGCAAATATGTTGGAAATATTCTTTGAAACAAGATACCTATCTGTTACACAATCATACATGTATTAAATTGTGACCCTCCACAGGATTTCCTGCGTAATGGTGATAACACAGGCACGCGTGCGATGACACGCCATGCTATGCGTGATATGTGACACGCATATGCACATTTATTAACAAGGAAACAAAGAGTGTCACGGTAGCTTTTGTTTTTCAGGTCTTAACACGCTCAATCTTTTATTTTCAACAGCGTGTTAAATGACACGCTTCGTAGCATGTTAAAAGTCATGCGATATGGCACAGTAGCACGGAAAGAGTTGTTAGGCAACCAAAGAGGTTAAGCAAGAAAGCCTTTAGTTTTAGAAGTTGCTCCGCACATTGAAAGAATGGTAGCAAAAAATAAGGCTTATGTAAAATGTTCTTCCTAGCACAAATGCTTTCACCCTATGCTGACTTCAAGCAAAAAGACAGCATATGTAAAAAGTTCTTCCTAGCCAAATGCTTTCACCACACGCTGACTTCAAGCAAAAAGACAGCTTATGTAAAAAGTTCTTCCCAAGACAAATGCTTTCACCGTACGGACTTCAGGCAGGGCCTAGTGACAGTTTGATGATTCGATGGCCTGGTAAATACTATGTTCGAGCAACAATGTGTTAAAAAAGTATTGTTTAATAGAGGATTTTGCGTCAAATCAAATTTTTCAGAATTTTCAACGTAACGCTGCACAATTTCTTGCCATGAAGGCAAGTAAACAACGATCTAAGCATGATGAATTTTACTGCGTGGGCTTTTTACATGTAAGAAATCCGTACATTTTTCGCTTATAAAAGAAAATCAGAAAACTGTTTTGAATAAATCTGTCGTCCCAAAGTATTTCTTGGCTGTTTTGGTATTGCTTGCTTAGTAATTGATTCCATGGAACTTGAGATTTCACTCATGGACAAATTTGCATATTCCCGTTTGAAATATGATCCACAGGCTCATTTGCACACATGCAAAAATATTTAGGGAGTTTTATCTTTTATCTTGATTTTTGAGAGAAAACTAAATATGCACCTATCGCTTTTTTCGACGAAAACAAGTTCTTTAATTAGTCTTCTTTCACTGGAGCTTGTTTTTTGGAAAAGATGATTTTAAAAAATTTACTGCGCATTGTGTTTACTTTTTTGGTTTCTCCAAAATTTTGCCTTTTCGTAGGTACGTGTTAGATCGTGTTACATGTAAGTGTCAATGGGTTAAACTCGATCTTGCTATAAATTTCCGCATTTTGAGAAAAGAAAAATGGGTTTCGTGTGACAAATCGTGATTCATTGGAAGATAACAGGTGAAGTTTACAACATGAGTCAGTGATTCGATGATGAAAATAAGTTACGAATGCAGGGTTTGCTTTAATGGAGATAGGATAATTTTTTGCATGTGCAATCTCTTACAGATGTTTTGATCTGACATGGGTATTATTTAACACGCGGGATATTTTGCACACCAGAGTGCAATATGACACGGCATAACACTGCTTTTGTTTTCACACCCTTTAACACGCTTCTTTGTTTAACCTAAACACGGTTCATTGTTTATATGAAACAAAAGAAAATTTTAATCAGGAGTGCATTGTGACACACTGCTACTGTGTTAACAAAAATTTCTTTTGTGTACCGTGCTAAAATAGTGTGCCCGTGTCATCACCATTATGCTGGAAATCCTGTGGAGGGTCACAATTAAAAACAACAATTTTGTGACTTTATCCTTTTCAATAAATAAACCCAGTAGTCCATTAATCATCAGTGCATGTAAATGTTTCTAGGTATCTACGGATACAGTGACATGTCTATGATACATAGACTGTCCTGTTAAAAAGTCTAATCACCATTGTGTCAGGGTCTGTAATTGTCTTATTTCAGCACTGATTTAGTTTGTTAGAATACGTGCTCTGATTTCATGACCAGTGTAACTGCATGCTTATCACAATGTTTATCGCAGTTAATCATCATGGCTTATCTATGCATTAGTAGAAAACCACTTTAGGAAATGTGGTAAAATTGTACAGGTGATACTAGGCTAAGTATGTTAACTTAAATCAGAGCCGCTTATGAATGATTGTATAAAAGTCAGGGAAATACGCAATAACAAACAGTTGTAACTCCTACTTGTCATAACTTATGTGATGCATATGTTCTAGTTACAACATGGTGACATCAGTAAACCTAACACTGTTCATACTTCTGACTAATATATATTAAAATATAGGCACCACTCCAAAACCCACCTCAAAGAAGAGAAAATCTAAAGACCAAAGCGACATAGGTAATGAATCGGAAGGTGAGTTGTTTCATTTCTTGTTTTGTGATTGTGTTGCATCCCTTCATACAAGTAATTAGGTCCAAGTGGTGCAAATATGTTAGAAAATTGATATTCTTTTGAAACAAAGTACCCATTTGTTATACAATCGTACACGTTTTAAATTAAAAACAACAATTTTGTGACTTTATCCTTATCAATAAATAAACCCAATAGTCTATAAATTATCAGTGCATGTAAATGTTCCTGGGTATCTACGGATACAATGACATGTCTATGATACATAGACTGTCCTGTAAGTCTAATCACAAATGTGTTAAGGTCTATAATTGTCTTATTTCAGCACCCCAAAGAGGGTGACAAAGGATATTTTCATAATTCGTGAATGGCCTTTTTTTTTTTCCCCATGAAACATGAAATGGCTTGTTTTTTCTCATGAATCGTGATTTCATTAGTAGCTGTGAACTGTGATTTTCCAAAATAATCCTCCATGAAATGGGAAAGAAGTATTTAATTAATTATGAACTGTGATTTTGGTTGTAGTTTCGACAGTAATTAACAATGGCAGTGAATTGTGAAAGGACCAATTCATTTTCCGTTAAACGTGATCTTGATGCCCCTTTACCACTCTCTCTAAATGGTAACTGTTTTGGTTGTGCACAAGGCGAGGGAAACATTTTGGCAACTAAGTTTATGGCAAAAGATGCCAATTTGGTGACCTGCATGGCAGCCATAATGTAAACTGTAATATTTTTATTTTATACCCTGGGTTTTATAGTTTAAAATTGAAAGGGGTATATTAACATTTTCAGAGATATTTTGTTGCATTGCAAATTACTCGCTGATAGTTAAATACAAAAATAAAATTTCTATTATGTAGATTAATTCACGTTATGCAGGGGTTTCAATAACTTTTTCCGTAAGCAGCTGTGGATGGTGTAAATGGGGGTTGTGCTGTAAAGTCAAACCCAAACATGAGCATGCTGATAGGCTAAACAGAGGATAGTCTGTAGCAGAGCTTGACACTAACTTTGCAACTTACTAGCCAAATGGCCAGTGATATCTTAGATTACATGTTAGGACAATTTCAGTTTGTTTACCAGCTAAAGTGGCTAGTGGAAATCAAAAACCACCAGCAAAACCTGAATTTCTACTAGTCTGTGGCTAGTTGGCAACCGTTAGTGTCCAGCCCTGAGTAGACTGTTGTTAATGGATTTTTATCAAAACCTCTGCATCATGGTGGTGACACACAAGCACCCTCGGTGAAATTTTTTCCTTCACTTTGTGTGACTGCAGTTTGCATACATGTAAAAATTTTATTGTACACTTGAAGATTAAAAGTGTAACTTTTCTTAACAATCTAGGAGCCACTGAGGCAATTATGATGAGCAAAGCAGTGGAGGTAGCTGGTGGGTTAACACTGTCTATTATTACACGACTCGGGCAGTCAGAGGGCCAATAACTAAAATCAGCCAATCAAAATGCTCTATTGCCGGTCAATATTCTCTCAGTATTAGACCGGGCACTGTCCCAAATGGTCCTGAATGATACCGCACCTGTGTCCCTTTGAACTTCAGTCATATAATAAATCTCTTATTAACCAAGCTTGCTTGGGACTGTACTGGAAGAATATCGGCCCTCAGTCTTTTTTGTACGGACCTCGCGCATCCTGTCAAGACCTCAGGCCGATATTCTCCCAGTGCGGCTCTCGCGCTTGGGTAATAAGATATATATATCTATTTTGGTTCCTCTATGTACATATCCATATTATGGTGTTGAAACAAATGCACTCTCAGAAGAATGTTCTCCTACAGTTTGTGTGTCGGGTTTTACATACAGATTTGATCATTTTGCTCTTAAAAAATTAATTTAAGGTTTCCTAACATTCTAGGAGCTACTGAGATAACCCTAGGTGCCGAGGAAGATGAATCACAAGGAAATGATGAGAGTGCAGTAGAGGAAGTCAGCGGTGAGTGCATGGTTCAATCTATTTATTGACCTTTATGTACATGTAGATATTAACAATCTAATGTTGACACACATGTACTCTCTACAATGATGTCTTTTTTGTTATCTGAAGTGAATCCAGCAGGTGCTTATCAGAAACTGCAAGAAGAAGAAACATCTGAAACAACTGTTACTGAGAAAGAAAGAGGGTCTAATGGTAAATTAATTTTCAATTTTTTTGTGCCCTTTTTTTAATACACTGTGACTCTATTGAATGTATATTAAAATCCATAAAAAGAGGGATTATCATGAGGACTTCCACAAAAAAAAATTATAGAAGCATTGTGCAGTCATTACAAACAACAACAGTTCATATCAGAAATAACCCTCACTTGAACAATTAGAACATCACAAATAATGACAAAGTGAGGGGGAATTTTATCAATCGAGAGGGATACAGGAATGTAAGTCCCTTCTGGCCTGTATTTGAGGAGAGTTTATTCGAAGGAAAATTTATGAATGTGGTGTCTAAACAGTTTGTATAAAACTGGTTCTTTTAGCTTCAGTAAGTGAATTTAAGTAGTTTTCTTTAAGTAACAAGGGACCAACACAGTTATAAAAACACTTACTTTTTACAAAGAAAGAGATCAAAGTTCAGAAGCTTTTCAACCTACCACACTGATCAGAAGCAATCACAAGCAGTTAACGGTTAACCCTGCATATTCACAGTGATCAAACTATGGCAATGCCAGCCTCAGATAATAAACCATAGTATTGAATTTCCCTTGACTTTTCCATAAATGAGACGTTGCTCTTTTATGAGTTAGAACTTGAACTTGAAAAGTTCCTTTCTTCTGTTTTTGTATACTGAAAAATTAAAGGTTTACATGTACATAATTTTAACCAACTTCAAGAATCTTTCAGGATAGCTCTAAAATCAAAATGAGAAATGGTTGTAGACTGTATCTCAGCATTTTTTCTATTGTTCTCTTTTTAAAGGATTGCAATATGATTTTGAAGAATTGCAAGCCCTGTCCTCTTGCAGCTCATGAAGACTCTTCATACACACTGATAGGAAGTGGCTAGCATTGTGCAGAGATGCTCCATAAATAACAAATTGTCTTACAGATTTAAATTGTACAATGGTCTCAAATAAGGAATTAGTCGCATAGTAGGTAGTAATATTAGAGTAACAAATAAGAGTGCATTTCAGGAAATAATTGAGGGAGAAATTTCAAAATTAACTTGGTTAGAGGTTTGCCTTAAATTAGTCTGTTCAGTGTTTGTTTTGATGTAGCAAAAGGCTTTTCAGTATGCCTTCTTTTTATCTTTCCTGTCTGTTGAGACATTGGTGTGCTGCTTGATAAGACAAACCAATGGCCGTGCACAAGACTTAATAAATTTATTAGAGAATTTAAAAGCCTCAGATTTTTTTATGGATCTTAACTAGCATAGTACAGTCAAGAAACAGTTTATTGCTTTTATCCATGGGTTTATTTAGTGTATTGAAAGTGCACACAGCCAAGACCAGCTGGCACTTGAAAGTGGTTGATGTCAGTAGAAGAACTACTACCAATTATAAAGTGCCGGCAGCTGAGTATTAATATTATTGCAGTGTATACTGTTGTAACCCAAGTCTAAAAATGAGGTTTATTCTATATTTTACTTTGTAGCCATTTTTTAACTCAAACTACTTTGTTGTCAAGATGTAAACCTTAGGGTATCCAGACCAGTACAGATTAAACTTGAGGATCATGTTTCAGTGTCATTTTGTGTTGTAAACAAGCAGAGTGTGGAATTTCTCTTTGTTCTTTGCTAGGCTTTTATTGTGGTTTAATAATATTTTAAGTAAATTACCTCCCTAATGGAAATTCCTTTGATCTGCCAGGTTAATATTTGGTTCTGTGCCCAGAACATTAATTTTAAAATTATTTGATCATGTAGTCAATAGCATATTCTCATTTAGAGATAGAGAGGCTTATTTAGCTTTACTTTGACTGGAAGATAGTAAATAACTCTATTTAGGGGAAAGAAAAATAAATACTGACAATGAAAAAAGAATCACAAAGTTAAACCTCCCATTTAAATCATTCCACTGCTATGCAAAAGGCTTTTGCGTGACGCATGATGGCCCCAAAATTTCCATCGTAACGCATGATTGAACCCAAATTATCCGGTGACGGGGGATCGGACATAACCTGATGCGTGATTTGCTATTTTACAAGCGGGTGACGCGTGATTTTAACGTCTTACTGATTAGATTTCTGTGATAAGTGAACGCTCTCTGACCTAGAATGTAGTCTGAATGTCAGGCGTCCTCTCCCACTAACCCACGGGGGATACTGCGATACGAAACCCTTGTAAACGCCCTCGGAGCGTTTCGTTTCAACAAGTAAGTCGTCCCTATTTGTTAAACAAAAAGCAATATGACATGTGAAACTTAATTCCTTTCAGAATAGAAAACGTTGGATACAATATAATTTTAAGTAATACATCCGATAGGTTCAAATCTTACCGTATTAGCTTAGGGTACTTACTCCTTTTTACGTGACGTGTGATTGGTTAAATCTACGCAGGCTAAGAAAAATTTAGCGTGTGATTTGAACTCCCCCCTCACCCTTTGCCACCCTCGAACAAGGACCCATGGGATAGGGGGAAATGCACGAGTTGCGTGCCCAGCAGAACTCATGATGTAATCACCAACGGAAATCATGTGACGCAGCTTGGCACAACTTGGACGAGAAGAAAAACATGGCGTTGAGTTCAATTATTCTCGGGCTCATTTTGGTTCCTTACTGCCTCTCGCTGAAACCACCGGCAGGAGGAATACAGGATCGAAAACCTGATGACCCAGACGTCCTTGATGCGCTTGATTTTGCCATGAACGAATTCAACGCTATGCAGAACAACTTGTATCGCCTGATGTCGACTAAAGTAAAGGACGCTACTGTCCAGGTGAAAAACGCGGCTTTGTTTTGATCATTTCAAATACGTAGAAGTTATCTGATTGTGAATTTTACATCCCTTATTCATACTTAACAAATTACTGTTTACTGGTTGATCAAATTCCTTTTGAAAGCGGTTCGATCGATGTTGAGTTCGACTAGTAATTTGACGATGTTAGAAATTTACATCCGGTTTGAAACTCAGCTGGTAAGTATGTAACAGCATTAATCGACTTCACTTAACGTTGTTTGACAACATATAGATCGTGGGTCAAACACAATTTACTAAATCTTCACGGGAATGAGTGTACAAATAACGGATGTGCTCTATTTATCCTGCGATGAGTTTTTGTTGTACGTGCTTGATAATTATTTTATTTCCTTGGTGTTGGGTGTCATCAGACCAACTGAATTTACAAGTTCTGAAGACGTAACGGCGTTACACAACTACATGCAATTTCAGGTTCTTTTCTCTGCAAGTTGCAAGTAAAAATTATTTTGGTTTCATTCACCCATGTATGTCTTGTGATTTGATCTATTTTCGATTCTTTTGTCCTCTACTGAGCAGATGAAAGGTGCAGAGAATATACAATTTTATGCCAAAAACACAGTATAGATATGTCAGAATACCTAGAGGGAATGTAGAATAAAAGAATGCTATGTCATCAAAACGTCAAGATTTTTTCCTTTTTGTAGACATGAAAAAGATTGTGCAATTGGAGGTCAAGGATTTTTAAAAAAGAATAGCTATATGTGTGTGGAAGCTAAAGCATACTACTTTAAAGTAGGATTTATCACAGTAGCATTGGTGACTAAAGGGCTGTTTACAAGAAGTGGGACTACATTTAAAATACTTTTCTCCACTGGAAAATGAAATTTGGCACAAAATAGATAATTATTTATTTTGTTTGTTTATTTATTTATGGCCAGACTGGTGATAAAGTTCTGCATAGCATAGGGGTAGAGCATACATAAGCAGAATTTAATGGTCTGGGGTTTGATACCTCATGGGGTCTTCAAATTTTTTTCTTCACCCCACACTTGCAACAAGGTGGAAAAAGATATTTCTTTATCCTAATTGATTGTCTAATGAATTTTTCGGTTTCATTTTTAAGTATTAGGGTGACTATCATATGGTATTATCTTTTAGGTTGTTGCTGGCCAAAAGTTCTGTATTGTCTCAGAGGTTGGCATTTCCCGAAGTTGCCGTAATGATGAGAGTCACAAGTCAGCCTCTCTGGACCTCTGCCCTGTTGACACACTGGAGGTAGGTGATTGTGTTCTAAGGATTTGTGCATGACAAAATTGACAAATTGCTGCAATGCTTGTTATAGAAGACTTATACCCTGTTCACATCAACAAAGAATATTAAGGTAATCTGGGTTGAACTGAATAAAAATCAGCAACATCATAGTGAAAAACTGAATTTTCTCTACTGATAAAGCTCAGGTTATTGCAAACTTGTATTTTCAAAGTGCTAAAGTGGAAGTCAGCAATCATTACTATAAATAGTTTCTAAAGGAGCATTCATTATTAATGGGAGGGGGTGGGCTGGAAAGATTTTCACTGAGACTAAACAAAATATCCTGACCCTGCTCTATAAGAATTAAAAATGTCATAGCCCCTCTAGTTGTAATTGCAAAAATAGCCAGCCCCCCTCCCCCCCTAGGACTAGAAAACCTATCATGCTAAAAACTCATGGCTTTTATATGTAATATAATTGTAAATAACTTAGAACTTAGAAGATCTCATCATTGTTATCCCTTTTTATTAGTTTTTTTATGGTTAATACTACCCAGGTATTGTAATTCTTCTCAATTATTTTAAGACCTTGAGTGTTGGTCCGGCCAGGGCTCGAACCCTCAACCTCCCGCACAACAGTCCAGCGCACTATCCATTGGGCTAACTGGGAGGCGGTAAATAGTAAAGGCTCCCTAAGAAGAAACAATCTTTAAGGGCCAATACACCAGCTTTAATTATTTATTGCATGAGAACTTTTTAAATAAGGTTTTCACTTGTACTCAAATGTCAGATCTAATAACTTTGTTCTTCACAGATGCAGTGTAGATTTGTGGTTAACAGCGTCCCATGGGAGAAGCGCAAAGATCTTATCAGCCACGAGTGTGTCGGTTTGGAGGAAAAGATCATGTCCTGTGAGCGGAGCCAGCCTTCTAAAGCAGCATCCAAAGCTGATGAAAGTAACTTTGTAATAGATTTTGAAGCAGAATCAAAGGTAAATGCAGGTTTCTCTTTAAAAATTTTATCTGTACAATCTCCATTTTCCAGCCACAGAAGGGGGTAGAATGAACATTTCAAATTTTCATTTTTCAGTTTTTTTTTTCCTTTTTCTTCAGCCAAAACCTTCCATAGGCAACAGTGATGCACTTGAGACATTCCACAAGTTTGTCATTAAACACAAGAAGTCCTATCTAACAGATAAGGAAGGTATGCTTTGATTATCCAAACTCATTAATCAGGACAGTTGTGGCTGTTCGATCTTTGATTGCACTAAGAAATGTTTTTTTATTGATGGTGATGCAGAAAATATATTAATGAAGTGATGGTGCATATTAGCACTTGCAGCAGTCGTACATTTTTAAATATTCTATGTCATGTTGATCTTTTGTGTATTGCTCTTTTTTTTTTCAAAATATAATGATAAACATAACAAGAGGAAAGTCCAGCTGGAATGGAAAATTGTAAACAGAAGGGAATTAAGTAATGTGTTAGATATGTCGAAGTTCCAACCAGCAGTTGGGAATTCCAGTACTTTTCTTATTTTTCTCAGAAGTGAATCATTTGAAGTCCCCATTACTACTCTGAGTGTGCTGTTTATTTTAGTCATTTCCCTTTATTTAAACAGTTTGTCTTGTTTTTATTTTGTTTTGTTTTTTTCAACCCTGCCAGAATACAAAAAACGCTTTGCAATTTACCAGGACAACTTGGTCAGAGCACGAAAGGTGCAGGATATGGAGCAAGGTTCTGCTAAATATGGCGAGACAGTGTTCAGTGATTTAACAGGTTTGTCTGTTCCTGTTTTTGTCTCCTGTTTTTGCCTCCTGTTTTTGTCTCATGTTTTTGTCTCCTGTTTTCTTAACAGACTTCCATATGCTTGTTGTTTGTCAGCCTTTCAAGCATTTGGGGAATCTGTTCCAGTTTTAGTTTTTTTTGTTTAGTTTTTAGTAAATATGATGCTTACACTTAACTTAACTTAACTTAACTTAACTAAACATAATCAACCACTACCCACAAATAGCATAGCTAGTCTCGGCGGGCAGTGTGTTCCAGCAGCTTGAGCAACAGTTTGGGTGACTTGGGCAGCTATTCAAACTCTTGTGGCATCTGTCTTATGAAAATCTCCACCTGTTCAAACAAGCTGGGACATCAATTTGTAAGGCATTGCCTTCTATTCAAATTGATGTGCAAGTCAATGTAACAGTCTTTAGGTTAAAATGTTATCTTCAATTTAACATAGTTTACATACATGTGACTTACTACTTTTTGTACTTTTGCCTTCAGAGGAGGAATTTAAGAAGAATTACCGCATGCCTAGTTGGGGAAAGCCACAGTATGAAATGAAGCAAGCTGATATTCCCAAGGGAGACATTCCAACAGCATTTGATTGGAGAGACAAAGGTAAAAGTTTGTGAACATTTAAGGGTGTTTTGAAGTTTTTACAAACAGGTTGTTTGAGTAACTGGACTTAACCAATGTCACTTGCAAATGATGTAACTGATGTTGTGCTTTTCTTCTATAGGTGCTGTAACTCCAGTAAAGAATCAGGTTGGTAAACCAGAACTCCAATTTTATATTTTAGTTCTGATGGGTGTGGGAGAGCTTGCTTTAATTTGTAGTTAGCTTGCAAGTAGTCTTTCACTGGTGTGAACAAGCAGTGCCACTGGCCTGTGTGATACTTATTGATGGTAGCTAGCAGTGTCTCAGCATGTACTGCCTGCATCTTTAGCTTCTATGTGGTTGTGAACAACTGTGTCAATTGTGTGCCTTTAAATTTAAGAAGACATCTCCAAATATCCTTCTCTTAAAATAACATGGCAAGACTGTATTTAAAATATTTCTCTAATTGTTCCTTTTTCTTTGCTACCTCTCAACTCTTCACCTCACTGAAAACAAATTTGTATGCTCTTGCTGTTTGTACAGTTTCAAAGTTATTTATGTTAACCCTTTCAGTTCCAGGGTGACCCTACATAATACTATAAAACTTTTTCCCCATCAATAGCATTACAGTTTTAAGTAGAAATGTGACCATCTGAAGAACTGAAAACAAAAACTTGGGACATTGCTTGACTTGATGTCAAATTCTCAAAATTAAAACTATAAGAAGTGTATCACAGACAGTGAAAAGAGGTAATATTTATATCACAGAATTGAAAGGATCACTTAACTCCTTAACCCCTAAGAATGATTGGTTTCTAATTTCTTCATACTGTATCACTGCTGAGTCAAACAGTCAAGTCATGAGAATAAAGGAAATGATCACTAACTCAAGAAGCTCTTGATTGGTGATTGAATTCTCCTTGTCAGCACTTAAGGAAAGGTGTAGAGAACAGTATGGAGAATGTGCATTCTGATGTTATGGTGTAAGATGTTAAAATTCTTACTTTTATGTAGGGTATGTGTGGTTCATGCTGGGCTTTCTCCACAACTGGAAATATTGAAGGACAGTGGAAAATCAAGAAAGGAGAACTTGTCTCCCTCAGTGAACAAGGTAACAGGGAAACACAGCATGTCAGTTGATCTGTTTGATCAAAAATCACTTTGGGTTTTATAATGTATGCAGCTTTTTTCTGGCACCTTATTCAATTATTTTATGAATTTTTTTTCCCTTGCAATTTATGAAATTATCTTTCACAGATTTAAGTATTTTAGTATGGTAAGTTATAGATGGCTTGAAAGATCCCTGCAAGGCATAGACAAACAAGGATTGTGATACAGTATGGAGGAGATGGGGAATTCTTTTCTTTTATAACAATTGTACCATTCATGATGCACTAAGACAATGGCACAGCCAAACCATTCTTTTCCTCTGTACTATGTTGCCAAAAGGTGTGGATAGGAGTCGATATGTCCCAAATTTTTAGTGTGGTTTGTTTTCTTTAACTCTGCACTATGGAGATTCAAGATCTTATTTTGGTGTTTGAAATAAATAGGCCTCTTTCATACCGGCAGGAGACATTATCATCCTATTATTTCACAACTCGGGCAGTCAGAGGGTCAATAACTAAAATTAACCAATCAAAATGCTCTATTGCCGGTCCAATATTCTCTCAGTATTGGACCGGGCACTGTCCCGAATGGTCCCGAATGATACCACACTTGTGTCCCTTTGAACTTAGTCGTATGATAAATCTCTTATTAACCAAGCTTGCTCGGGACCGTACTGGAAGAATATTGGCCCTCGGTCCTTTTTGCACGGATGTCGCTGCGCTCGGTCCATACTGTCAAGACCTCGGGCCAATATTCTCCCAGTATGGCCCTCGCGCTTGGTTAATAAGATTTATTTACATTTTATAAGTTTGTGTAAGTCAGCCTTCCTAGCCTCGTTTTGAGTGAAAATTCTATTCCTTTTTAACACATGATTCAAGGCAGAAATGTTAGTTTTCATGGAGATAACAGAATAGAAACAAGGCCGTTATACATGAAAGAGGTCTGTGCCTGAAATGTTGTAGCTCTCATTTAAAATTTATATAAGTATTATCTTCTGTGATCTGTCTATCTTTCCAGAACTTGTTGACTGTGATAAAGTTGATCAAGGCTGCGACGGTGGACTGCCATCCACCGCTTACAAGCAAATCATGAAACTTGGTAATATTACCTTAAGACCATTTTTTAAAATGCAATATTTTGGTGAGGTGACTTTCTGAAAAATGTGTGCCTGAGTTCATAAAATATCAAGCAGACCTGGATTCTGCTGGCCATTTTTATTAGTGGATATGCAAGACATAAGAAGAAGTAAAGTTAGATGTAAACACAGCCAAAGGAGTCTAGGGAAAGTTA